GTGCTCACCCTACCTAGTGGTGTCTAGCACCCTCCAAGAGAAGTTTAGCTCTACCCTAAAAAAATCAGAATAAAATAACAAAGTAGGGCGCAAATGGGTGCAATTGCCACTTAAAGGGTTACATATGTAAACATGTCGACATTGTTATACAGCCATATTGTCAAATATATTGTACTTTAACAAGCAAATTTGCTGTACTGTGCTACAACAACTGTCTAGTCACACATACGTGATAAAAAGTCGATGTAAACTTTTTAAACAAAAGATAATGTAAAACGTAACAGAACAGCGAACATGCAGATTTGACCATCTTAATTAATGGTAATGTTGGGATAGTAATGTTGTCGACTGCAGAGGAGAGTGGGCAGTAAGGCTCCCTCATGCACCCAGGGTTTTTTCAGGGATTTTTTAGGGCTGTTAAACGGCCCCAAAAACTCAATCTTGAATTGAGTTTGAAACTCAATCTTCTCACCAAAGTTTCAGTGCAGTAAAAATGAAGTTGTTTGAGTTCATTTCAGTTGGAAACCCGACAATTAAAAAAAATGGCTGGAATTCATCTCACAACACAAGAAAAACTATGCATTCGCCATCTTTAACCAGTTTATAGTGTCCCTTAGTGCCCCTGCTTTAACACATTCCGTCTCAACTACATTTATTGAGTACAGGTAGGGGGGGGGGTGCAGCTACCCCAGCTGTTCAGCTAAACTCAATCTTCTCTGCAAAAACGGACCCAAGAGAAAATCCTGGAAAAAACCCTGGCACCACCCCATGGAAAACCTGCACCCCTCTTTGCAGATGAGGCTAGATCCATTTTCTGACTGTATAGTTAAGCAGGGTTCATACACAACTTGAAAGTTCTTGAATGTCCTTAAATTTGAAAACAAAATTTCAAGGCCTTGAATGTCCTGGAATTTGTAAAGAAGAACTTGAAAGTCCTTGAATTCTTCTTGCTTTAGTTTATGAATATTTTCTGAAATTGACATTCAAAAACGGACATTTTGTTGAATTGATTTTGTATGATCATATCTAGCAAAGCTGTTTGAAATTCACTAAAGTTGCGTTTTGGTCAATTCAAGGTGACATTGTACTGATTTTTAACACCTTTTCGGTATCTAGTGTTTGAATTTGCTGATACATGGTCTTGAATGTCCTTGAAAAGTCCTTGAATTTGACTCTCTCTTATATGTACGACCCCTGGTTAAGGTAACATCCAAATATTTTTCTAGCTGCATTGCCAGTGGAATGTATTATCCTTGAAGATAGCAATGAAGCAACAACGACCAACCCTTTAACAAACCAAAGTTTAACTACCACACCCAATTATCTGCAACCGAACCATATCAATGAAAGTCAACCACTAGCAAATAGTGAACAAAATAAAGAACAATGTGTAGAGACTGAGAATTCTAGTTTGATGGAAATTGAATGCTCGTCGGAAGAGGGCACCAAAAACGAGACGCAAGCTGAGCCACCGTTACCGTGTATGGATGGGTTACCAGAAACTAATTCTGGTGTAGAAAACTCTAATTGTGTAAATGGTAGTCCACTGAATAGTATTAAGAATGGTGAACCAAACGTTAGTAAGAATGGTGAACCAAACGTTAGTAAGAATGGCCAACCATCGCCAGAACCTGCCAAGAATGGCCTGCCCCCAAGTCAATCACCTAAAGGGAGTGGTACACTATTCAGGTTTTTTTCTCCTGTCACACCAGGTTCTAAGACTACTACTGTAGAACATTCAAAAACACCATCTAAAGATGATGGTAAAACACCATCTAAGGATGATGGTAGAACACCATCTAAAGATGATGGTAGAACACCATCAAAAGATAGTGGTGATGTCGTGGGTAGTCCATGTACGCCTATTAACACTAAGACGTCACCAGGTGGCTCAGCAAATGGAGAGACTCCCAACCCTGGGACTGTATCAAGTAGTGGTATGAAGGTAAGAAGTTCAACTCACCGTGCACGCTAATGCATTTTTAATATTTGCTCAAAGATGGTTCACTCAAGGTCGAGTTTTTTTGCATATATTTTTTATAAATGCTCGTGCATGAGAATGATATTCTATGTCAATACACCCTTTCAATAATTACGTCACATATACTTTTTGGTCTTGGAGCCTCGCTCTCATTAGTAAATTACGCAAGGTGATTGGCTCACGATTCAAATATAAATGGTGTATTACAGCAGCACAAATTGCACAAACTTTTGTTAAATATTATATCAACAGGATATATTTTAAAATTGTTCCAAACCCTTTCCAAACTTCATATAAAAATATTTGGGTGAATGATTTTGATGGCCCAGGTATTTTGGCCTAGTGTAACACCTCCTTTAGGAATGTCTAGTTGAAATACCGTTACTAACCGTTGTATTTTTCTATTCTACAAAGAAATGTCTTTCATCATTATGGAGGCTCTAAAATATTTTACTTTTAGACAACGACGCCAAGACGTAATACTCCTGGACGTAAACTGAGTGTTGAAGAGAAGTTGAAACGAGAAGAAGAGAGAGTGAGAAAACAGAAAGAAAAAGTAATTGAAGTGAAAATTTATTAAATTATTGTCGTTAAAGAGTGATCAGGTGGATATTTCCCTGTGACTTTCCGGTGACCTCAGTGTTCGGTGACTCCCCCTTTAGTGTCTACCAGTCATACTCAGACGCACTGGCAAGGGCGGATTGTCATTTTTTTAAAAGGAGAGGTGGAAAAATTTCTAGTGGGTTGGAAGTGGCACCATTGAGCGAGCTTCGGCAGGGTCAGGCTTTATAGGGTTAAAGAATTTCACACCAAATAGGAGGGGTGAAGCGAAATTTTTGTGTGGTTGGTTTACTGTCGTTCCAATTGAAATGTTGCTCAAATATTGATTCAATTAATACATTACTTCGGGCTGACCAATTCATTTGATCAAGTTCCTCGAGATATTCGTACACTTCCTGTAAAAGAGCCAATTCCAAGTATTTGATCATTTCTGATCACTTCCTGTCTATTTATGATTGGTTAGTTGCACAAACAACAAAGGTGATTGGTGCATTCAAACTATTCAACAGGAAGTTTACAATTATACTAGGAAGTGTATGAATATCTCGAGGAACTTGATGAAATGAATTGGTCAGCCCGAGGTAATGTATTGAATCAATATTTGAGCAACACTTCAATTGGAACGACAGTAATGGCCACCTCCTCGACACTGTCATCTCGTTATTACGGTTACTTATTTCCCGCAATGCGTGAAGGTAATATATTTTGTAATAAACAGTTAATATGGTTAAATTTTATGGTCCGTTCTTGACGGCATTAATTAGGTTCCTGTATACTGAGTTCCACTTACCCTTTCATGTGCTGCGACTAGTCCGTCTTTTTCTTGTTGTCGTTGTTCGCTGATGATTGCTCGTGTCTCGTCTTGTGACGCTTTTATTTCACTTCTAAATTGTTCCTCCAACTGGATTTTCTGTTGAATATGATGTTGTTGCAATACATGGAATATTGTATTTTCTGCTCTTTCAGCTGATGCCATTCCGCCCACCTTTTCTGTCAATACCTTCTTGCGGGTTTCCGCAATCTAACAATGAATTGAATTAAACATGATTTAGTAACCGACTATAGTACCAAACTTTAGAGTCGTAGTAATTTTTAGATTTGAACATAATCCAATGTTGTTTACTATTATCATATATACTATTTAATATTTCTGAATATCCTAAACGAACTTAATCTTGAGTACATGCATCACATCTGATCTATATTAGCTTGATATGCATGCAGGGTGTCTGAAAAAACGCTATGGAAATTCAACGGGCTGTCGTGCATCTTAAACTTAGCTAAACAATTCAATTTTTACATAGGACGAAAGAACAGTTACTTAGCTTTTCTATGATATCTTTTTAAATCGTAACGATAAGAAATGGCCACATACTCGTCAAATAAAAATTACCGGTCGAAATCACATTCTTCCACCGTTGGGAATTGAAAAACATTAATTGTGCAAAGTTAATCAATCCAAAAGCAACGCGAGCCTGCTGAAAGCTATTTGTTTCGTAAAACGTTTTGATTACGAATGTTCTCTGTTCAGTGGTTAATTGAACCATGTTTAATGACGTTCTTATTGTCTTACTAAGACGAAGATTGACGAGTTCAGCTCATTTTAGATAATTTAACATTCAATGTTAATTCCCTACTCGGCAATTTTTATTTGACGAGTATATATGTGGCCATTTCTCATCGTTACGATTTAAAAAAAGGTATCATAGAAAAGCTATAAATAACTGTTCTTTCGTCCTATGTAAAAATTGAATTGTTTAGCCACGTTTTTGATGCACGACAGCCTGTTGAATTTCCATAGCGGTTTTTTTAAACACCCTGTATAGCTATATAGTCTGGCGAAATCAAATTCATTAATGGTTATATAGCTACGTTTGTGTTTGGAGGGTTTACGGCCACAGTACTGTCAGGGACGCCGGAACTGGGGGAGGGGGGGGGGAGGAGGGGCAGCCGCCCCCGTTGCCCTTTACCAGGAGGGGCAAGGGGGGCAAAGGTGCCTTTTCAATTTAAAGGATTGCCTTGGCGAAATAGGGAATTGTCACAAATGTTAGTCCAATTCTTTTACGAATTTGCTTCAGAAAACGCAAGAAATGCAGTCATTGAGCTTCAAGAATAGCACGATCGCTTGTCGGAGAACCTCCTCACACCCCTATCATCCAATAAATAGAAAACATGATTAGGCGCAATTCAACTCCCGATATTTTGCAAATATTTCTTAGTTTTTATCAATTCAAAAGTGCCCTTTCACGAAAATCTGCCCCCCTTGCCTTCACATGGTTCCAGCGACCCTGCGTACTGTACTACTGTAGCTACAGTTGCCCTTGCTTTCAGTTATATGGTCTTCTTTCAATTTTCAACAAAACCTGTTGTAGTGCAGCATGGGTTTTCTCACCGTTGATTGGCCTTAATTCACCCTATGACTATGGTAAGTTAAAAAAAGTTCAAGGCGAGGCCTCGTTGGTGCGGTAAATGTATTTACAGTTTGTATCGCTTGGAAATGCCATTCAGTCAACATTTTACAAAATGGCCGCTCAAACACAAATATTGAGTATCTGAACGTATTTCATTACAGTAAATTATAACGCTCGTATAACAAGAACGGTTTCAGCACGCGGGACTAATATTTAGTGGTTTACTGTCGTTCCAATTGAAGTGTTGCTCAAATATTGATTCAATACATTACCTCGGGCTGACCAATTCATTTCATCAAGTTCCTCGAGATATTCATACACTTCCTGTGAAAGAGCCAATTCCAAGTATTTGATCATTTCTGGTCACTTCCTGTCTATTTATGATTGGTTAGTTGCACAAACACCAAAGGTGATTGGTGCATTCAAACTATTCAACAGGAAGTTTACAATTATACTAGG